CTCTCTCTCTCTCTCTCTCTCTCTCTCTCTCTCTCTCTCTCTCTCTCTCTCTGTGTGTGTGTGTGTGTGTGTGTGTGTGTGTGTGGCAAACATGACAACACCCACACCCACAACGATTCACAAAGAGCGCTCTCTCTCTCTCTCTCTCTCTCTCTCTCTCTCTCTCTCTCTCTCTCTCTCTCCCCTCCCCTGTGTGTGTGTGTGTGTGTGTGTGTGTTTGGCAAACATGAAAACACACACACACACACACACACACACACACACACACACACACACGAGCACACAAGGACTCACAGAGTGACAGTCTGACTTCCTCTCCCACTCGTCTGTCGTTCTCTCTTTTGTACTTTTGTCCGTTTTCTTTGTGTTGGTCCGAAAGGCGGAGAGTAGTACATCCCGATACTACCCGACTTCACCGGAATACAACGTACGGTCATTATAATTGGTGTATTGAGACGGAAAGATACCCCATATACAGCTATATTGATGACCGTACGTTGTATTTGGGTGAAGAAGGGTAGCAAGGGCGAGGTCTAGTGTGTGTGTGTGTTGTTTCGCGATCAGATGCCGCCGTCATTGTGCAGTGGGAATTCGCGGTGAGACTGAAAACGGCAAGTATTTCGAGTCCGGACAGTGAGACACGCCATTTGAACCTCAGCCATTTCCAACCGCTCACTCTATTTTTTAAAGCAAAAAGCAAAAACCATGCAAGCAAACACGAAAGATGTGTACTGCTGTCTATTTTAAAGTAAAGAACATGTCGACGGAAAAACAGAAAAGCTGACCTCAACAGTCGTTTCCTCCTCAACTATAATAGTATTATTGGCATCATGTACTACTGTATGTTTTCCTGGAAGTGGTATTCAATATAATATCCCCCCCTCCAACTGGAGGTGACATTCAATAATCAAAACATACGCCTCCCCAAAAAACAAAATCAATAGCACTTGGCACTACGGCGTGAAGATTGTTGTCTCGCTCGTTTGTGAAACAACAATCAAACGCAGGAATGACCCTCTCTGAAGCAAGAGCCACGTGGCGTTCGCGTGGCGTACACGTCGCGTACACCTCGAATACAATGGCGTACACGTGGCGTATGGCGTACACGTGGCGTACGTGCATGTGGCAAATACGTGGCGTAGACATGGCATACACGTGGCGTGGCGTACGCATGACGTACACGTGGCGTACACATGACGTACACGTGGCGTACATATGACGTACACGTGGCATACACCTGACATACACGTGGCGTACACGTGACCAACAGCTGGTCTGCATGTGGCAAATACGTGGCATAGACATGGCGTACACGTGGCATACACGTGGCATACACATGGCGTACACGTGGCGTACATGTGAAGTACACGTGGCATACACGTAGCATACACCTGGCGTACACGTGGCATACAGGTGGCATACACGTGGCGTACACGTGACCAGCAGCTGGTCTGCATGTGGCAAATACGTGGCATAGACATGGCGTACACGTGGCATACACGCGGCGTGCACATGGCGTACACGTGGCGTACATGTGGCGTGCACATGACCAACGGCTGGTCTGCATGTGGCAAATGCGTGACGTACACGTGGCGTACACGTGGCGTACAGCTGGTGTACACGTGACCAACTAGTGGCGTACACGTGACCAACAGCTGGTCTGCATGTGGCAAATACGTGACCGACCAGCAGCAGTGGACGTGTGGTCCATACGGACGTGGACGAGGCGTGCATGGTGTCCACGTGGCCAAGAGCTGGCGTGCATGCGGCAATTACGTGACGTATTCCTGGCCAGGGCGCATGCTTTATGACGAAGGCGGACCGCCTAGCTTGCAGGGTGCCCATTGAACTCGCAGGATTGGCCTGGCCTAAGGGCATGGCCACATCACTCCGCAGGGAATATGAAAAACACAAGACCGATGGCGGTTGCATCTTTCTATGTTTCCGCGGAAAATACGTGCTCCATTTTGCACATTCCGGGGGGAGTGGTGTTTTTTTTTTTTTTTTTTCAACGGCATATACTGCATTTCTGGTAGCGGGAGGAGGGGGGGGCGGTCCGATGCCCCATCTACGAAAAGAAAGAATAAAAAAAGATCAAGAAAAAGTGGGGTACAAAGGGACGTGGGCGAGGGGTGCCTGGTGTACACGTGGCCTACCGGTAGGCCACCGGCCTCGTGCCCTGGGAAGAGAGGGGGTAGCGAAACAACTACCATAACTAGCTTTTGCCGTTTTCCTCCGAATAGAACGCGCGGTCATTGTCCGTGTACGTGGACTCCAAGTTGCCCCAAATACGGCTGCCATTATTTGACCGGGCGTTCGATTCGGGGGAAGAGGGTAGACTGGTTCACCCCCATTGCTGAGCTCGCCTCTGCACTCACAGGTCCGATCTCACCTATTGAACCCACAGTTCATTCCCTTCTCTGTGTCCTTGTTTTTTTTTCTGGTTTCGCGGCCCTCCTCTTGGTCCCCTCCCCCCCTCCCCCCCTCTCCCGTCCCTTCCCCTTGCCTCGTCCCCCCATCCTCTTCCCCCGCCCCTTCCCCTCGCCCCCCGGCAACCCCCCCAGCCTCCGCCACCTTCGCGTGCCTGATGCTGTGTGTCGGTTTCTCGTTTCTTGTCTTCTGGTTTTCCTCATGATGATGATGATCATAATAATGATGAAGATGATGATGATGATGATGATGAATCTTTTCGAACATGCAGATTTGCGTAGGGGAGGATATTGCTGTAGTAAACCCGTGACGGCCTGCACTCAGTAGAGCTGCAGTTTGGGCGCTAGGGTCGCTATATCTCAGCTGGTACTAGTACCTGGTATCCCGACGCAACGGAAGGGTTAAACAAAAAAAATTTGCAAGGGGACGGAACCAGTCTGCCGCAGTCGGTCGCCGCTGACTCTCACTGGGCGCAGAGTCTGGTGCTCCAGTGTTACGCAGTCTCGGAAGGATATGCCAAGATGATCGCGGAGGTAAGGGAGAGAAAATCGTTATTTCCTTCTTCACCTGACTCAAGAAAGCAGACTTCTTTTTCCCCTTCTTCTAACTGACACAAGCAAGCAAGCAGATATACATGCTCCAACGCTTTTACGACCACATTCATTCAGTGGTCAGGAAAACCCACCGTGCCCTCACCGTGCCTTTCGACACCAGCTAGAGAACGAGTGTGCTTGTCTCTCTCTGTGTCTGTGTGTGTGTGTGTGTGTGTAGGTGTGTGTGTGTGTGTGTGTGTGTGTGTGTAGGAGGGTGGGTGTTTGTCTGGGGTGTGTGTGTGTGTGTGTGTGTGTGTGTGTGTGTGTGTGTGTGTGTGTGTGNGTGTGTGTGTGTGTGTGAGAGAGAGAGAGAGAGAGAGAGAGAGAGAGAGAGGACGCGCGTTTGAAATGTTTCAGTTCGTGTAACTTGTGGGGCTTGACTGTTTTTGTTCTCGATGCTGAGATGACATTGACGTCTTGGCGTTGGATGGGAGGCGATGCCGAGAATACTGTGACTGATGAAAGACGTTCGCGCGGTGCGACTGCCATATATGTAGTAAGGGTATAATAATAACCTGACACTCAGGGGCTCTTTACTGGATCCATATGAACAGGAATGCCGGCCAGATGCATTTCAAAATCTCCTCCTACTTCGACTGTTTCTCTCTCCGAACCTCCGAAGTCTCTTGTAACTACTCAGCTGACTTAACCAACCACCTAACCGTCCAACGAACTCCGGTCTTCCGCCGAACGCAAAAAGGTGCTAGCTGTGTGGCAAAGGTACGCAACGCACCCTGGTTTTCAATGTATACAATACGTTTTTCCGGTCTCATTCAGTCAAAAAAAAACACGAGGGTGCGTTGTGGTCGGGGGAAGACGGCAGCTAACCGACGACCGCACGCACAACCTACCTTTTCCCCCGAATACAACGTACGGTCATTATGGCTGGATCTAGACAGAAAGATGCCTCAAATACAGCTATATAATGACCGTACGTTGTATTTGGGGGAAGAAGGTAGGGAGCTACGAACTAGCTGTTGGTGTCTGTCTTTCGTTTTTTTTTTTTTTTTTTTTTTTTTTTTTTTTTTTTTTTTTTTTTTTAATCCTTTTTTTTCTGTCTTTTTTTTTGTGTGTGTGTGTGTGTGTGTGTGTGTGTGTCTATCTCGATCAGCTCCCCGTTGCTTGATAAACTCAGGGCGTACTCGTACTAACTACCAAGCACTTTGCAAAATGCATCTGACTGCAATTACGGCCAAGACTTGGATGAATCTGGCGGCAATCACGTCCAGAGCTTTGTAGAAAAAGTCCCAGTGTGAGAGTATGCCGTCGTTCACGTTGTTGGCAAGCTCACGTTTCCTGACAAATGCACTCACGCACGTTCCTTATAAACTCAAGGTGTAATAAGACTAGGACTTTTCTCGATGTACCGGACTGGAATTACGACCAGCCCTGGTTGTATCTGGCCGGAAGCATGTCCAGAGCTGAGTGGATAAGGCTGTAGTGTGAGTATCCCGCTCACTCACGTTCTTCAGAAACTGACTCAGCGACACGTTCTTGACTCTTCAGACTCAGTTCACGTTTCTTCAAAAACTCAACTCTCTCTTTTTCTTTATCCCCAAACAACAACAACGAACGTTTCTTGAAAAAGACTTGAAAAACTCACGTTTCTCTCTCTCTCTCTCTCTCTCTCTCTCTCTCTCTCTCTCTGTGTGTGTGGTTCTTTTGTCACCAGCAAGGCGACTAGTCCGACGACTGATCTGTTTGCGGCTGTGGCTCGACGTTCGTGTGAGGCGGTTATCGACAACGACTAGCAGCCACGGCACAGAGAGAGAGAGAGAGAGAGAGAGAGAGAGAGAGAGAGAGAGAGAGAGAATTGGTAGAAAGGGTCACTGTTGCGAGTGGCCACCCGGGAACATGGCGCTGATGAGGTGGTGCGCAACACTCGGCGCGCAGATCACAGTCATGCGGCGGAAGAACGCAACGGGTCCATTTCTGTCATGGTCGACGGGATCGGGACAGCCGGTACTGCAGTTGCCCGCCGCCCAGCTGGCCTTCCTTCTGGCCTGCCTTCTGTTCGGCGCATCGGCAGTCTCTCCTGTCTACGCGTCCAAGGTGATCGTCGGAGGCAAGGATGGGTGGGCACCGGAAGTTGATTATGGCGCCTGGTCTGCTCAGAACCCACTGGAAATTGGGGACGTTGTGGGTAAGCTAAGCCAACAGATCGCCTTCAAGGGGGTCATGGGTTGGAGAGGTGCAGAGGGGTGCAGAGGGGTGGAGAGGGAGGGGGTTGGGGGGTCTCTTCCTGTGGACCCGCTGGAATAGCGGACGGTGTGCATTAAGCTAAGCAAAACGAAACGTCCTCAAAGGGGGGCCGGGGGGGAGAGGGGGGGGGCAGGAGGGTTGTTCTTTTCCTTCTTTAATTTTTTTTTAATTTTTTTTTTATAAAGAAAGAATACAAGTCTTTATAAAAGCCGGGAACCGGCCCCGGTGTCCCTTACAAAATTAGGTGGGGCCTTCAGCGGGCCAAGGCATCACCGGCCAAGCAAGCACATAGACGGCACCACTAGATTTCACCCCACAGGCAACTCCACAACCAACTCTACCCTCTTTCTGTGTATCTTGCTTCTGTGTATCTGGCTTCACATGCTTTGACTGTATTGCACTTGGCTGATGTATGTTGCGTGATTTCTACTACAACTCCACAGCCCCTTCTACAACTGAAAAATCAACCAAAATTATTAGCAAAAAAACATATAATTTCATCACCAAGAAACTCGCTTTTTTTTTTTTTTTTTTTTTGGCCGGGGATGGATTGCGCAACCCCAAGTTCCCAACCAGCCACCCCCACCCCCAAGTGCACGGCCGCCGCGCATCCCTTGGCCACCGCCACAGTGGATTCAGGCGATTCATAGTGCACCTGCAAATTGCCATTTTATAGAGACCTCGGGCCGACCTCCGAGTTCGGTCGTGTAAGTTTTTTTTTTTTTTTTTTTTTTTTGTGCTGCTGGTAAGAGCAGACACCACTAACACCTCGGGAGAGGCTCCGTCTATTAGTGGGGATGCTGGAAAACGGGTCCAGCATCCCTTGAAAGAACCATGCCTTGAGAAGATGAGAACAGTGATTTGTGAGATCTGCCAGCATTGATTACCCTGCAACACAGGGGATTGACTGAGCAGACCCTGTGAGAATAGTGGCTATGGAGTCTGCCAGCATTGATTGCCCTGCAACCCAGGGGGCTGAGCAGATCCTTTTTTTTTTTTTCAGAAAAAGAAACATTGTGGGGGAGTCCTGCCAGCATTGATCGCTCTGGCATCCAGGGGATTGACCGAAGAGGAAGTAGAGGGGGCGGAGCCTCTTCACCTTGAAACTGGCGCCAAGTACCTACTGTAACACACTAGTTCCTCCCTCCCCCCACCAGCCCCAATCTGAACTGTCACTTCCCCAGTACTGTGCTTTTTTTGAAAACATATCAGAGGATGATCAGAGACAATGTGGGGGGTTCCTCGTGAGAGGGGAGGGTATAATCGCTAACCAACTTTTCCTGTTCCTCCTCCTTCCCCAGTCCCTCATTCTGCAGGTTGGTCCCACTACGGATCCCCTCCTCCGTACCACTGTTCTCCCACCATGGCTAAAGCTGGTGGCGGGAAAGGATCTGGAAAATCTGAAGCAGGCCGCCATGGTACATCTGGGCAAACATTTGTCCACTCCTGAAACTGAAGATGATAATTCCTGTCGTCATTTCCCACCATTTCCCCCTCCCCCTCTCTTTCCCCTTCCCCTTCCCAATAGATTTTTGCAATAGAATTCCCCAGGGTCCCTCCCAGCCAGTCTTTGCTGAATTGTTGAATATGCTTTTTTATTTCTGTTTTTACGTGCAGGGATGTTAATTTCTCCTTCATTTTTCCCCATTGAATAGTGATTTCGGCGTGCACCTGCAGACTGATTTCCTCCTGCAAGACTTGGCCATCCAATCTTACCTCCTCCATCTCATACACACAACGTCTTCTCCATAGCGCCCAGAGGACCGCCCTTCTCCCTAATTTAAATATATTATCCTCAAAGGTGGTAGTTTGCTCCGGGTGCCATGTTTCGCACAGCAGTGCTCTCCAATCCCACGGCCAGGGTGTCGTGGCGCCTATCTGTCTCCATACCCTCTCCCACCATCTCCACAGTCATACCTAGCCCGGACATTGAAGGAAGATGTGTTCGATTGTTTCTGGCCAGCATCGTGACGAGAAAACGGAGGCACAAAGTTTGCACCATGGCAGAGCTAGCCCTCGTTGTTCCAAGGTTGTCCTGTCAATCAGCCAGTCGTTCGTGGGCAGGCAGCGGTGCTCAATTTGCCATTGCATTGCCACTTTCGCTGGGGAGGCCTTGCTCAGCCTAAACCATTTTACTGGGCGAAGGGTCTCTTTCCCCACATTCAGGCTACGTGGCACCCTGGGCCGCGGATCCTGCGGCCCAGTCCGAGCCGCGCGGCCTAGGCCGCGCGGCCACGCCACGGCCCAGTGGGGGCGCGCTTGGGAAATCGGCGCGCGGGCGGCGCACATCGTCCCCTACAAGACGTCGCCAAAAAAAATTAAAATTTTCTTTTTTTTTTGGGGGGGGGGGGTCATGACTAACTAAAATAATTAAAAAATAGAAAAAAAAAATCATTGATTGACTGTTTTTTTTTATTGATTGATTGGTTGGTTGATTGATTGATTGATTGATTGGTTGATTGATTGATTGATTGATTGATTGATTGATTGGTTGATTGATTGGTTGATTGATTGGTTGGTTGGTGGGGGAGGGGTCCTGCCTCCCCTCCCCGGCACACACACACACACACACACACACACACGCTCGCACCTCTCTCTCTCTCTCTCTCTCTCTCGCGCGCGCGCGCGCGCGCGCAGCTCCCC